ACATTCATGATCCTCTAAGTTCACATGAGGTGCTTTAACATAAAACAAAGTTGCTAAATAAAATAAATCTGGTCTAGTTTATATATAATGAGACTTTATTGATGTCAAACCACTTTTTTTAGGATCTTTAATTCTGTTTCCACTCTATAAGGAAGTTGATTAATATCCTTTCCAGAACAAAAAATATTAGTGAGATCTGCAAATGAAATAAAAAACAAAGTGTTGATGCTTTGCAGATATCATTTATGTACAGTAAAAATAATTTTGGGCCTAGTATTAAACCATGTGGAAGTCCATATGTTATCCCTTCTACTCTGATTTTTCATTTTGTATTTGTACATATTGATCTATTAGAAAAATAATTCTTTATCCAATCATCGGCAATCACTCTAATTCCATAATGCTCCAATTTCTATTAGATACTCTGTCAACAAGAAAACATACATTTGGACATGTATTATCTCCTCTCTGTCATTGTATTTGTAATTCACTTAAATACGATTCTTCCTGGTTAAAACTACATTTCTACTAAACAGTTATTAAATATTTCCTATATTACATTTTTTTCCAGCATAAGCTTGATATCAGAATGTAAAAAAATAAATAAATAAAATTGCACAAGTAACAATAATGTTTTGGCTCGTCATTTGACTTTTATCAGCTTGAATTAATTTCTTTTAGATGTCTCAAATACATTTCCTCCCAGTCAAAATGACATCAAGTTTCCCATTCATGTGTTACGTGGCTGAAATTTCATTACAGACATCAACTACTTATTATATGACTCTATAAAGTGGAATTTCAGATATATTAATTTAATATGTCTGTACAGAATGCTATTGGAGATAGTAAAAAAAAACATATTAATAGTAGAAGTATATTTTAATGTCAGGAATTTGATATCTTGAGTGTATTATTCATTTCTGATATCTGAAATAAGTGATAACCTCATAACTTCTGGAATGCTTTGATTTAATGTGAGCTTGTCTGCAATTTTATTGTACTTCTGTTCTGGTTTTATTTTATTTTGGACACGTTTCAAAAGCTCAACATAGATCATTTTAATGTCTCTTACACCTTGGGAATTTTATATTATTTGAAGTTTTTTTGTTTTGTTTTCAATGTACTGCTACCTAACTAGTTTTATTGCATTTGCTCCTACTGTATTCTTGATAGGTCACTGTTTAAATCAATCATCAAATCTTATGTTGAGTTAATTTAAGATGCAGGTACAATTTTCCCTGACCTTGTACTTTGTAACTTGTAACTTACCTTGTAAATTTTGCAATAAAAAAACAAAATCATGTGTCATCATCCGATCCATACCATGAGCTCTTTTGCACATATGCAACCAGAATACATCATTGTCCTTTATAAATAAGACCAAAAAAATAACATTTTCCTCACCCTAATTACAATAAGGTTATTTATTTATTTTCCAAAGGAGAATAAATGCGTTTACATCCTTCCTGTTATATCACTCGTCTTCTTTTTTTTTTTTT